ATGTGTACAGAGGGAATAGCCTAGTCCTTTTCTTATATGTTGACAAGCAGAAAAGGATGCTGAGTTTAGCAAGGCATGTGTCAAAGAGCAAAATAATGTTAAAATGTCCTGGATAACCATGTGGAAGATACATTATTAATTAGCAACTTAGTTGTTGTTAGGTTCCATTGAGTCAGTTCTGACTCATAGGGACCTTATGCACAACAGAATGCAACACTGCCCAGTTCTGCACGCTCCTCACAGTCCTTACGTATGAACCCATTGCTGCTGACATTTTGTCAATCTATCTCTTTGGGACCTTCCTCTATTTTGCTGAGCCCCCATTTTACAAATGATATCTTTCTCCAGGGAATGGTAACTCCTAATAATATGTCCTAAATATGAGAGATAAAGTCTCATCATCCTGGCTGCTAAGGAACATTCGGACTGCACTTCCAACACAGATTTAGAGTAATTTAGAGCAGCACAATTTTAGTAAAAGAATACTCTTTTAAATATTTTCCCCATATTTTACAAATGCAGGATTCTGAAACTATGTTTGCTTACAAAATAAAAGTGCTATTTTAAAGATACACCAAGAAAAGAGCATTGTCAGGAGAAAAACTAAATGAAAGCTTAAAGCATTTTGAGGATAGCTTTTGCATTTACTGACAGACAAAATATGTTCATTTTTTAAAAATCCAATTTCATCATTTATGATTGAATGAAATATATGTCTGTGGTTGCAATAATAATGTTGGCAGGACAATTACAAAAACTTTTAGCAAAATATCCATACTATCTTGCAGTCAGCATGACTGTCATTATTTTTATTGATATCTTGACTCCTATTACTCAGGCATTTAACTCAACATCCAATTTCTGGCAAGAGGTGCCCAGAAAGGTCCTCTGGTCAACTGTGATTCAATCCTACAGGCAAAATTAACATATTAACGAGATGGCCTGTTTCATTTCAAACTCTGCCTTAGAATCCTCCTGAGAGCTTTTCTGATCGTTAACAAGGTTGCTTAATTTGCATTATGTTATTAGTAAATTGCAACACCTTTCATAGCCAACAAAATGTTAAATACCATGGTATCTGTCTGATTTTATCTTTTGTGCCATATATGTAGGTGTGGGGATTTCAAGAGAATGCCTACCTTAGATCATGGATTAACTAATTTCATTTGGGCAGAGAGTACCAGTGGTGTATAAAAGGCAAGTTTTGTTCTCCGCCATGCCAAGAGAGTTACCAAAGTATTTCCATCAGTTTAAAAGATAGCTTAATACTTACTGCTTGGCATAAAACTTGTTGACTGAGCCAATGTTCAATGAGCCTTTTAAGATCATATATTGGTAGAACCCCAAACTGATTAAGAATCAAATATAAAAGTGTGCCAAACTTAAGCAATCTCGTCCAAACTTACAGCCCTCGGGATCCACTGGGTTTATGTAAACTTAATAGTGGAAAATCTCTAGAGATCATGGGTTTTGCTATTCATTGTTAGTTTCCTATGACTGCTATATGTAGCAAAATGCTACAAAGTGGGTAGGTGGCATAAAAAATAGACATGTATTCTTTCATAGTTCTGGAGGTTAAGGGTCCAAATTCAGTAGCTAACCATGCTGATTCTTCCTGAAGGCTCTTGGGGAAAAGCTCTCCCATGTATCTCTCCTCGCTTCAGCTGTTGAGCAGCGATCCTTGGTGTTCTGTGTCTTGTGGCGTCACAACTCCAAACTCTACCTCTGTTTTCACGTGGTCATCTTTCCTCTGTGTTTATATTTTATCATTGGATTATGGCCCACCACACTGCACTCATGCTAACTAATGACATCTACAAAGAATCGACTTCCAAATAACAGAAGACTGATAAGTACTGGGGGTTAGGACTTGAACATATGACTTTTGGGGACACAAATCAGCCTGTAATAGGTATTCACCAAATTACATCAATAAACTGGTTTAAGAGCAGGTTTTCTTTCTTTCTCTTTTGTAATTGGCAAGGTACATTCTTTGTGGAAGTTTAACACCAACACTTTCTTAGTGAATCTAAATATTCAAGGATTTTCACCAGCCTATGAAATACCAATATTGCACATACATTTGGAATTTCCTACCTTTTATTCTTTGACCTGATGCTTATTATGTTCTGTAAACACTTCAGAAATTTGGAAAAGAACTTCCAGTTTTGGCAAACTGATTCAGAAACTGGGTAATGATGGATATATGGTGGCCAGAGCACATGGGTGGACAGCCATGTGGACCCTTCTCTTCTTTATAGTATTGTGACTTTTGTTGCTAAGTGCCGATGAGCCTGCATAGGGTTTATAACCAGCAGTTGGTGGGTTTGAACTGCCACTTTGTTGTTCAAATAGACCCTGCAGTCCAGAGCTTATCCTACAGCATCACAATACATTAACATCATCCCTTCATACAACCTCTCCTTGTATTGATCCTCTCTACATGATAGAAGGATAGAGTTTATCAGTGAACTGAAAGTGCCAATTGGCCTCTCTCTATAAAAATTGCAGTGATGATTATGAAAACTAGAGCTAACATTTAATTGAGCACTATATCAACTTTAGGAGCTCTGGTAGCATAGTGGTTACGAATCAGGCTGTGAACTTTAAGGCCAGCAGTTTGAAACTACCAGCTGTTCTGAAGGAGAAAAATGAAGCTTTCTGCTCCCTTAAAGATTTACAGCCTCGGAAACCTTGTACAGGGTCGCGATGTGTCAGAACCGATTCCACGGCACATAACAACAAAAACAGTATCAATTTTAAGGCTTTCTGGTAGTGTAGTGGTGATGATTTGGGCTGCTAATCTCACAGTTAGTAGGTCAAATCTACCAACAGTTCCACAGAAGAAAGAGGCTTTCTGCTCCTTAAAGATTTTCAGCCTAAGAAACTCTATGAGTTAGAACCAACTCCACATCACATGACCACCACCTCCACCACATCAGCTAGTATACATATATGTAAGTATCTTATAAATGAGAGAAATCTACAACAACCCTAGTACATATTGTTTCTTTTCCTAATTTGAAAGTTTTTGTTTCTTTGCCATTGCAATGAGATTGATCATTTAATGTCTAAGGAATCCTGGTGGCACAGTGGTTAAGCATTGAGCTGCCAACTTGGTTCAAACCCAGGAGAAAGATGTGGCAGTGTCTTCTTTGAGGATTATAGCTCTGGCAGTTCTATTCTGCCCTGTAGAGTTGCAAGGGGTCAGAAATAACTTGAAGGCAATGAGTTTGGAATGTTAGAGATGAGCCATTTATAGGCCTTCTGTTAACTACCCTCTTCAATTATATGTTGCTTTTGTTAAATGCTGCCTAGTAGGTTTCATACGTAGAGTCATAATGTCTCTATGTACAACACAATGAAACACTGCCTGGTTCTGCGCCATCTTCATAATTGTTATGTTTGAGCCCATTGTTGCTGCCTTTCTGTCCATCTGTCTCACTGGGGGGTCGTCCACTTTTTTTTTTGGCTGACCCTCCACATTACCAAGTATGATGTCCTTCTCCAGGGACTGGTACTTCTGAACAACACGTTCAAAGAACAAAAGTCAAAGTCTCGCCATCCGAGCTTCTAAGGAGCATTTTCATTATACTTCTTCCAAGACATCTGTATATTGCAGTATATTAACGAGTCTTCCTCCATTCCTGATGCCACACATATAACCCTACGTTTTGGATTATTTGCTCAACATACAGATTGAATAATAATTGGTGAAAAGATATAACCCTGTTGCGTACCTGTCCTAGTTTTAAACCATTCAGAATCTCCCTGTTCTGTGTGAACACTGGGCTGCTAGCTGCCAGGTCAGCAATTGAAATCCACCAAGTGTTTCCTAGGAGAAAGAGCAGGTTTTCTGCTCCCATTAGGGTTTCCAGCTTTGAAGCCCTATATAGGGTTCCTATGAGTTGGAACCTACTCAGTGGCGGTCAGTTTTTGGTTCTTACCATCACCTATAAATCTAATAACAATGTAGGTGGAAGAGTTGGCATACATGCCTTTCAGGTGGCCAGCATTTCAAAGTCATCTGGCATTTGGAGGCTTGCTGTGCACAGATCTGACTTGTGCATTCTTCCCCATTATAGACCCCTCACCTGCATACCATATGCCCCCTCACACGCACACATTGTTAGTCATGTTACTCAAGTGTTTCTTAGTCCTTCCCTCCCATGTGGAATCAGAGGTCTGTGACTTTTATCGTCCCAAATCAAAGCCACATCAACCCCCTTGCCATCTTGTTAATTCCTACACATAGCAAACGTATAGTCAATTCTAACAGTGGTCAGCTCCCTTGAAAGCAGTATTACAGGTTATTCCATCTGATTTTCTTAAATTTCACTCTAGTGGTTATCTTCTTCTGCATGCGTGTATAAAGATCATAATAGAATTTTTGAACCTCAAGGTCAGCAGTTCGAAACTACCAGCTCTTCCATGGGAGAAAGATGAGGCTCCTATAAAGATTTACAGCCTTGGAAACCCTGAACAGGGTCTCTATAAGTCAGAACCGACTCCACGGCACATAACTAACCAACCAACCAAAAAGATTCAAGTTGTGGCTAGTTGTTACCTGGAATGTAGTTTGAAACTCCTTAAGGCAAAAGCCAGTTTGAGGAAACAGATACAAGGACTGTTTCAGAGATGCAAATATTAAGTCATTTTATATGGAGATTATTACATTTTATATGGAGAAATTAAGTGATATATTTGAGTTTAAATCAAAATAGTAAAATTTTGTTTTGGTTTGTTTTGTCCTTTGCTAAGTTTCAGAGTTTTTCATTAGACTGTAATGTAATTGTTTTTAAATGCTGTAAAGTCAGTTATAACTCACAGTTACCCTGTATAGGGTTTCTGATGAGCTGCTGGTGGGGCTGATCTGCCAGTATTGAGGTTTGCAGTGACTTGTTGAGTGGCTGGATTTTTCTGACCTGACATGCGACTGGCAGAAGATCTTGTAAGAGCTTTGAGCATGTGCACTTATTCTGCTTTGTTGTTTGTTTAAGCATGCAGACATTGAATATTGGAATATTGGACATCTTTGGTTTTGAAGAGTTCCAAAAGAATGAATTTGAACAAGTAAGTGGATTTTCTTTTGAATTTTTATGAACTTTCATGCTTTTCATATAACATTAAAAGTTCAATTTTTAATTCAATACAAATTCTTAGTGTAGTTACTTTCAAATGTGCAATTAAAAGAAGTTAAATGCTTTGGAGTGATTATCCCTGATTGTTGACATAGCCATCATTTGTATGTGGACTTAGAAATAACTGGCATAACTTTATTTAAATCAAAGTAGTTGTTTTAAAAGATCGTTTTATGAAAACTTGGATTTTACTTATGAACATGCTATTTCATGGAGGTTACAAAGTAGGAGAATGTCTGGATTTGAAATGAAAGCAAAGTCTTCAGAAACCTTGGCCATAAATTTCTGTAGAAATGTTAAATGCTGTTTGTATATTACAATATTTACCTTTATGTAGCATTCATACATATGACTATCAGAATTTCATAAAACTATATTTGAGATGTTTTGATTATTTTTATTTCCTTTATAATTTGAGAAAATTTGAAAAGCACAAAAAAACTTAAAGTATTTTAGTAGTATTTCATGAAAAGCTTTATCAAATTAGGTATACTTAAAAATTAAGTGTTAAGTGAGAGATTATAAACAGTACTTGCCTTAGACTGCAAATAAGGAAAATAAATTAGTAAAAAGGACAGGGAAAAAGGTAAAATACCAACAACCTGCATGATATTACATTAAGAATTGTATCTATGTAGTATATAGGAGAACTTTCATTAATTATGGTTTAGCTTTTGTTTGTTTGTTTGTTTAAGGGGGGTATTGTAGTGGTTATGAACTGATAAACAGTTCATTGGAATTGTGACTTGTATAGGCAAGAGTATTTTTGGCAAAGATGAATGCTCTGCGTGAGCATTGGTTTCCTCTGCTGTGAAATGGGAAGAATATACCCATAGAGTTGTGAGAGTAAATAAAATGGTATTCATAGGCATTGTGGTGTAGTTACCTAGCACAGTGGCATAGTTTGGAAAAGGTGGACAGCCGCTGTTATAAATGAGAACACTTCAGCCAGTTTTAGTTCTAAAAAGTAGTGCATCATCCTAAATCATGTCGACTCACCTACTTTAAAGTGAGTCAGCATAAACCATGTTCTTTACAGAACTTTGCAAGAAGTCCAGTTTCAAATAAGACATAGGTGGCTGATTTTATTTTCCTCTCATACTTTTGTATCAGTGGATTAATGCGAAAAAGATGACTTGGAATATTTATTTCTTTTTCATGCTGTAGGCTAAATACTGGACTACTTACCACAATGTTAGTAATTCAAGCCTTACACAAGGTCACTGTGAGTCAGAACCCACTCATAGCACTTAAGAACAACAACAAGAAAAATGTGATAAACATAAGAAAAGTCAGCAATAGAACACCTAGTAGAATATGCAAGTCTGCAGCATGTCTAATGCCTTTCTTACTCAGGTACTTGAATGCTGTTCACAGTGGCATTGATTTCTTGGGTATATCTCTTAAAAATAAGTACGTTTTCATGACTGTAATGTGATGCATTTAAGTGACTTAGAATGGTGAT